TGTGAGAACAGGATGCGGGGAGAGATGGGCCTGATCCAGCAAGGCTCTTATTACGCTTGTAAAGTCACCTCTTTACAAAGTATCACATTTTAATAAGGTGCTATCCCATAGCTGTTGAATTCACCAATGTAGCTACCACAACAAACACAAATAGCTGGCCACCTTCAAGAGATGAACTGAAATTTATCAGAAAGATAATCTTCTGAGAAATCTTTTGAAAATCTGCTTCCTCGGAAGATGAACACTTTTCTAAATACAGTGGTACCTCGGGTTAAGTACTTAATTCGTTCCAGAGGTCTGTTCTTAACCTGAAACTGTTCTTAACCTGAAGCACCACTTTAGCTAATGGGGCCTCCCACTGCTGCTGCGCCACTGGAGCACGATTTCTGTTCTCATCCTGAAGCAAAGTTCTTAACTTGAAGCACTATTTTTGGGTTAGTGGAGTCTGTAACCTGAAGCGTATGTAACCTGAAGCGTATGTAACCCGAAGTACCACTGTATTCTGCATTTTGTGTGTGTGCTTGCCACCATTTTCTTCACAATGCCCTGGAACAATGTTGCTTCAGAGGCACTGGGGGGGGGGAGAATACAAAATGGTGGCTATTCTGCCAACATAGGAACTCCACAAAAGGAAACAAATAAAGAACGCGGTGGGGGACGGGACTTTCCAGTGCTGCTATTTATTGTGACCCCTTTCCCCAGAAACTGTTGGATAATTTCCTTCACCAAAATGTCCTGACTCAATTTTGCTGTCCAGGTATACTGTGGATACTGTGGTTATTTTGACTGCTGACATCTCCCTATTTTCATCTAATATGATCTCCTTTCTAGCACAGATGTATGGTCCTTTAAGTGGGTCATAGGTTGGGGCACTAAGGGATGGCAATGCCTTCCTTACTTAGACCTTTGTATCAATCTTGAAAAATCCATTGCAATAGAACACAGTTTAATGGTCTCAAAATTGTAGCCAAGGGTGTTTTTTGTTTAATGTATAGTACATTAATGATTTTTCACATTAAATATGGTTGCCATTGGACTATATTGCTGATATTGCTGACAGGTGCCAAAAAATGAGAAGAAAATATGTTGTTGGATTCTGTGTATTCCATGCTAGTATGTATGTTTTCTCATTGAAGGCTGTGATAGCAATAGCCAATGTGATAGCCAGTTACTATTGATGTAATTGTATTTAAATGTATTTGATAGCAGTGTCAAAACATGCAAAAAGTTGAAACGTGAATTGCATATTAAGGTCACCTTTCTGAAAGATAAAATACTTTCACAAGAAGCAGAGTTTGGGGTTTAACCACTCATATTGCTGCTAACACATATTAGCTTCCACCTATTTCTAAACTGTAGGTGATATAAGAAGCCTTGTTTCCCCATCCCATATTATGACATTGAACAGATTTTCCCTGTTTAAACTATGCTGGAGCTTGGAATCAAATCAAATGGTTGGCAGGTTTTTATGCTGTTGGAACATGTATTCAGGTAGAGAGCATTTTGTCCTTGTGTGTTATGTAAGAGCTCGTGCCTTAATGAAAATAGTGGAGAAGCTATATATTACGGTTCGTAGGAAAGTGTTAGCTAGTTCATCTTTTCCTGGACCACCAGAGGGCAGTGTTTAACACTGCAGGAATAAGAGTCTCCTTTTATTTCCCCCCTCCTTGAAGTTTGGTTTCAGGGATAAGAGACTTTTGTGATAACTAAGGTTGTGTGTATTCAACCATTAGTTTTAAGGGCACAGTGACTGTGGGAAGCTACAGACTATGAACTGGTTACAAACTATGTACTACTATAAATAGCTTCGGATCATTTGAAAGAACTATTCGTGCTAGTATAGAGTGAAGGGGGCAGGTTTATTGCACGGCAGGGATATTTGTATGGCTATTTCTGCACTGCCAGCCTGATTCAGAACTTTGCTGGTGCTACTGTGCTCACATAGAGTTCTGAGGTATCAAGGGCTTCCCCCATTCACTGTACAGTGGTACCTCGGGTTAAGTACTTAATTCGTTCTGGAGGCCCGTTCTTAATCTGAAACTGTTCTTAACCTGAAGCACCACTTTAGCTAATGGGGCCTCCTGCTGCCGCTGCACAGGTTTCTGTTCTCATCCTGAAGCAAAGTTCTTAACCCGAGGTACTATTTCTGGGTTAGTGGAGTCTGTAACCTGAAGCGTTTGTAACCTGAAGCGTATGTAACCCGAGGTACCACTGTAATATTTGTGACAGCTCTGCGTGACTAGAATATGACAGCAGGGCTGACATTTTTTTAGAATTCCCTATGTGTGTAGTGGCTTTGCCTGTCCATTGGCACTCCTCAACGAACATCTTCAGTATGAACATGTATGCACACTAAGGTATTTGGAGATACCATAGGCCTGTGTTGAGTTTCCATCCTTAGGGTTTTTCTACAGATTCTTCTTTTCTTCTGCAAACCTTAGGTATGATACCAGGTATGATGGGTGTTGTATTCCAACAAGATCTGGCACACACCAGGTTGGGGAAGACAGGCCTACAGCGACTGGCATTGGTTCCTAGGGTTTCAGACAGGAGTCATTCCCAGCCCCTGAGACTGAACCTGGGATGGGCAAAACGTGCTCTATCATTGATAACAGAGCATTCATAGAGGCTCTTAACTATTATGTTGGGAACATAGTGCAGGAGGCAATTAATATGTATAAATTATCCAAGGCTGCCCACCTAGTCCATGATTTAACCAAAACTTGATTCCAGACACAGGCTGCCCTGTTTTGAACAACACATGTGGCAGAAGTTTGAGTGCTTCTTGGGCCAAGCTATGGAAAGCTATGTGAGCCAAAACCAGTACTTCAAATCGAGCCTGCAAAATCAGTGTTGATCTGGGGCATGTGCATAATACACTCCAGCAGCCTACTCCGTTCCAAGGGGTTAGTGGTTGTGTTCTGCTTCAGCTGCAGCTCACTAACCAACCTTGAAGGGCAGTCTTGAGGTTACGAAGGCATGAGCGATGGGTGGATGTATGCATTCCATCACCCTTTCTCCTGACTCTGCTGTCAAGTTTCTTCGGGATTGTCATGCTAAATTAGACCCAGAATCCATCTTAGAAACTGGAAAGCAAATCTTACTTTGCAGTATGATCTTGACTCATTACTAGTGTATCGTGCCTTCTGTACTGAAGACATAAAACCTTGAATGTGCTCGGCTTTGAATACGACGTGCTTTTGTTTTCCTTTTTAAATGAAAATCAAACAGGTTCCGTGACACAAGGCATCTCATTCTTTTATTTAATACGCTCCCCCTCTAAACGCTCATGGCATTTAGAAACACACAATAAAGATGGAAATTCTTTTGCATCACCACATTTGGGGCAGGGGGCGCGCGCAAATGCACACTTTTAAAGGATTTCCCCTTCATATAATAATGGCTATCAGAATCTCAACTGAGAACACTTCTTGGGATTTAACAACCCACAGTTGCGCCTCAGGACCACCATCATCCAGTCATTACTCCCCTTAAAGAACACTGTGGTTTCAGCACCATTGTAGAAATGTTCTTTTCAAAATGAAGCCTATATTTAAAACCGCCTTATATTTAATGCATATTTCAGAAATGTGGTGTGATCTTTCTTTGATAAATAGTTACAGGAGCACGTGCAATTATAGCTACATAAAGAGATTTAAGCACCATGAACAGCTTTGGGGGTTTTTTTCACCTAGCCTTTCTCTGGATAAAGACAAGCACAGAAAATTGTGTGTTGAAGTGTGTGCGCATGGAAATTTTTCCACCTTTGCAGTGAAATAGGAGTGGCACTTTTGCAACTGAGAGAGAGTAGGAACTCACTGGATTGCAAAAGTGGCCCCTTCATTTTGCTGCGCACCACAGGCCCTTCCAGCCGACTGCTGCATGTTAAAGATTAACAGAGTTGGAAGGCATCTCAAAGGTCATCTAGTGCAGCCTTCTCCAACCTGATGATGTTTTCAACTTCAACTTCCATCATGTCTTACCATTAGCCATGCTGCTTGGAGCTGATGGGAGATGTCATACAAAACATCTGGAGGATGAAGGTTGGGGGAGACTGATCTAGTAGAAACCTCTGCTGATACCGCAGCAGCCATCATAGGTGGACTTTCAGTCTCTGCTTAAAAACTTCTAGGTAAAGGTAAAGGTACCCCTGCCCGTACGGTCCAGTCTTGACAGACTCTAGGGTTGTGCGCTCATCTCACTCTATAGGCCGGGAGCCAGCGCTGTCCGCAGACACTTCCGGGTCACGTGGCCAGTGTGACAAGCTCCATCTGGCGAGCCAGCGCAGCACACGGAACGCTGTTTACCTTCCCGCTGGTAAGCAGTCCCTATTTATCTACTTGCACCTGGGGGTGCTTTCGAACTGCTAGGTTGGCAGGCGCTGGGACCGAACGACGGGAGCGCACCCCGCTGTGGGGATTTGAACCGCCGACCATGTGATCGGCAAGTCCTAGGCGCTGAGGTTTTACCCACAGCGCCACCCGCGTCCCTAACAAAAACTTCTAGTCTAACATAATAAACAATTATGTCTAATGGGAGGCCAGCTGGCTAGGCCCGGTTGGGCTGTTCCCTTCCAGCCGTCCTGCTGCAAAGACCATCACCTCTGCTCCTACATAAATCAGCCACCTGGGCTTCTGAACTGTGCACACAGAATAGGTGTGAGGCTTGTGGAAGCATACTACAACTACAGATTTATTAATCATAAATCAGGACAAAGAAACATGCCGTGTGTCTCTCTTGTTGTCTCAGAACAGCTAAAAACAAAAGCTATACACAATGGAAGTTCCCAGCATACTGTGCTGAAATGTAAACAGACATGTGACACACAACAATTCCACACGTCTGCTCCTTAAGGTGGAATGGAAATGTCAACAATAATTTGACAGCATGCCTTATTCTATTCCTTGGTTTAATTTATAATAAAAAAAATATTGAAATGAAGTTCGTTCTCTCTCTCTCTCTCTCTCTCTCTCTCTCTCTCTCTCTCTCTCATACTGCAGGTGTTGTTTTCACTCTGCATTGCTTTTTGGGGAATACAAATGATGAAGAAACTCACCTCAAGCGTAGCAAAGCAGCACTGAAAAGATATATGTCCAAATCTCCACATTAGGAATGCAAGAGCCTTTCTAGATCAGACCCAGAGGTCCGCCTAGTCCAACATCCAACAGTGGCCTACCAGATGCCTATGGGAACCCTTCAAGCAGAATATGAGCACAGTAGTGTTCTCTGATTCATCATCCCCAGCAACAAGTATTCAAAGACTAATACTTGGGGAAGTGCGTGGCTATCGTGACTAGTAGCCATTTAGAGCATTTTCCTCCATGAATTTGTCTTATCTCCTTTTAATGTGTCCAAGTTGGTAGCCATCATTACATCACATGGCTGTGAATTTCCATAATTTAACTGCACTGTGTGAAGAAGTACAGTGGACGCTCGGGTTGTGAACGTGATCCATGTGGGATGCACGTTTGCAACCCACAGCGTTCGCAATCCATGTCTGTATGTCTGCGCACGAGCGGGTTGTGATTTGGCGCTTCTGCGCATGTGCAAAGCACGATTTGGCACTTCTGCGCATGTGCGACCACCAAAACCCGGAAGTAACCCATTCTGGTACTTCCAAGTTTCGGCGGTCCGTAACCTGAAAAAATGCAACCCAAAGTGTCTGTAACCCAAGGTACACAAAAATTTATATACCTCTACCATGCGCGCCTTTCTCACCTTTCCCCCCCTAAACTAAAAAGGCTCACTTGTTGTAACCTTTATTCATAGAGGAGTTATTCTAGACCTTTGGTCATTTTAATGGCTCCTTTTCCAGCTCTGTGTGATCTGGTGACAATTATTGCATGATGTATCCCAAGTGTGGTTGCATCCTAGATTTCTCTCTCTCAAACCTTTATTGGCATATGTACAACATTCCAGTAGATTTCTATAATGATTTCATAGATTTCTATAATAATATCCTGATTATGAGAGTTTTATTTTCCTAATGATCCCTGACATGGAATTCACATTTTTCACAGCTTTTTCCACACTGATCCAACATTCTCATCAAGCTATTCACCATGAACCCAAGATCCCTTGTCACCCAGTTTGGAAAGATCTTTCTAGAGCTCTTTTGCAATCCCTTTTTGTCTGACCACCCTGAAAAAAATTGGTGTCCTCAGCAAATTTGGCCAACTCACTGCCTGCCTCTTACTCAAGGTCATAATTATAGCTAAAGTACATTCCAGAGATGTGGTAGAAATCTATGGAGTTGGTTTTTGTTTTTTTAATGTTCACTTACTGCAATTTTATTTTTTGAAACAGTTAAGAAGCCTCAAATTGTTTTATTTTATTTTATTCAGGGTGTCACAAACCTTCTCATACATAATGTAAAAGGAGTACTTTGCATCAATTCCACTCATGTGCAACCATATGTGGAAAACTTTTGAACAATTGATGAAACTCATAAATGGCATGCCTGGGGGGGAAAGGCCTCTCCTCCTTCCGGAGGGGAGGTGTTGTGGGCGGGAGACGATTCCCACGTCACGCAGGGGGCATTATGCCCCCTGCCCCATTCACATGGCTGGCGTGCCATGCCCCCGGTTGAGCACCCAATCGGGCGGCTTGGTGGGGGCGTGGTTTGCTGCTCAAGATGCAGCCGTGCCAGCCATTCAGCCCATTTGCACACCTTTTCGTCGCGAGTCACCCACCCACCACTCCCTTAGGGCTTAGGGCTTAGCTTTTCTCTTGACCTTCCTATGGACCTATGGTTGGTTGCCCAGGTTGCCCAGGGGGCCTGGTAGGAATTTTTCCCAACTGGCAAATTGGCACCGGCCTTTTGGGTTTTTTTGCCTACCTCGTAGCAATCGTCACAACTTACTTGGTATTTGGTGGTTAGGCATTGGAATGTGTTGTTGGTGTGTGGAAGGGCAAGGTGTGGCCATCGCCTACCCCTTCAAATTTGGGTACAGTGGTGCCTCGCAAGATGAAAATAATCCGTTCTGTGATTCTCTTCGTCTAGCGGTTTTTTCGTCTTGCGAAGCAAGCCCATTGAAGGATTAGCGGATTAGCGCTATTAGCGCTATTAGTGGCTTTTAGCAGCTTTTAGCGGCTTATCTGCTGATCGGATCAGCTGATAAGCGGCTTAGCGGCTTAGAAAAGGGGGGGGGGAGGAAAAAAAACCAGCAGGAACTCGCAAGACATTGTTGTCTTGCGAAGCAAGCCCATAGGAAATTCGTTTTGCGAAGCACCTCCAAAACAGAAAACTCTTTCGTCTAGCGAGTTTTCCGTCTTGCAAGGCATTCGTCTTGCGGGGCACCACTGTATTCCGTTAAAGGAATCCGGCGGTCGTGAATCCTGTCCGATGCCTGTGTGGCGGGTGGGGGGGGGCATGGCACAACCCTCAGTGACATCAGGGGAGAGCTTATAGCTGTATTAGCATCAACAGGCTCCCCCTACTGGTGGTTAACCCCTCTTCAGACTCACCCCTCTCCGAGTGGGTGGAGTCAAATCTTCCGTGGTCCAATGCCTAAGCCAATATCTTCTCACTTGCTGTAATCAATAAAGTTGTGACCTTTTCTTGCCCATTAACCTTATATACTGTGTCCACGTGTCTTTATTCCTCCAAGCGGGGATCGGGTCCTCCAACCACAACTAACTACTTTTCTTCTGACGTAGTGCAGTCACCATAGTAAGTATAGATGGACAAATTCCACTGATTTAAGTTGACCTTATGTATTAATAAACCTATTCCCAGCCAAATTACATTATCCGTGCATTGGATTGTGCCTTAAAGCCCAGTAAAACCTGTAGGGCTTACTTCTGAGTAGTCAGACATAGGAGCATGGCCAGCTTTACCATTAGGCACAGAAAGGAAGCTGCCTTGGGCCTCAAATGCTGGAGGGAACTAAGTTGTGTCCATCATGTGGTGTGCCCTACACCCACCAAGTTAGCCTGGTTCTTTGAAGGATGGTATCCTTTTGCCCATGTTAAAGATTCAACTTTCATTTGAATTGCCTTCTGTACATGGCAGAGGCAAGGTGTTGCCTCGTCCTTTGCCTCAGGAAGCAAAATGTCTCGGGCCGGACCTTGATAGGGTTACACAGTTACCGGTAAATATTTTTATTTCTACCTGCGTTGCTGAATAAATGCTTCTCCAATATTAACCTGCCCATACACCGGGATTCTCTTTGGAGACCCACAGTTCCAGCCAAAGACACCTCCTATCTGAAAGGGACCCTAAACAACAACCCCTCCACTAGGTCCTACCTTGTAAACCAGATGCAGCCAATGTGATGCCTTCCAGATATTGTTGGAACGCAGTTGACATAATCCCTGACCATTGTTCATGATGGCTGGGACTGATAGAAGTTAGAAGTATATATATATATATATATCAGTCCTTTTAATATCTGATGTGATTTTAATGCTGCCACTTTATCAGCTGCTTTGACAGATGCTCTGTTTTTGTGTTGATATAATTCTATTGTTTTAATTAATTTTTAAAACCATATTAATTTATACAAAAAGTTGTATGAATGTATAAATACAATTACTGAATTATGCTGGAACATCATAGACTTTCCCAGTTGTTTAGCTGCCTTCTCGTGGCTCTATGAAAACAAATAGTTATAACTGGAAAACATCATGTAACTCAGACTGTTAAGATTCCCCCTCTCTCTAGGAATATGCATGCTTTGCAATGTAAATTAGCAGCTGAGAATAACCTGGCAAAGAAGCAATTTTCCAGGAGTGCTTATTGAGTCTTTTCAGGACTGTTTGTACCAATCTTCATCCACTGAATGGACATGTCAGAGGGATTTTGGTGGTTTGATCTGCCTTGTTTCAAAACAACCATCTTCCATTGGAAAGCTGCCCTTAATAGCATTTATTCTCCTCAAGAATAGCGTAATTTCTATTGCCAGGCTTAAGGGCAAGTAGTCGTTCACGATGGTTCTAGATATGATCTGTAATATACTTTCATATCCTCTCTTATCATCCTTGCTCAGATGTCCCTTTTCTTACAGGTCAGAAATGTGGCCAGTTAAATCCTGATCCACAAACTGTGATTCCTGCACTTTTTATTACACACCATAATGAATGGAGGGAAATGTGGTTAATGCAAACCTCCCTAATTCATACTTCCCCATACAACACACAAACTGAAACATAGCTAAATGTGTACAGAGATGTGTATGTATGGGGAAGGTGTGCGTAGAAGTGCATATATTCATGAAAATAACATGCAAAAAATTGTCACCTTTGGGGAAATTTATTGCAAAAAATGTGCATATAGAGAGAAATCCATAGCAAGCATGCACCGAGAGAGAGCAGGAAGGCTGGCCTGCTTCTTTGCCCATAGAAAAAATGCTTATGTTTTTGTGTGCTGATGTATAAAAATTAAAATCAGCCGATTTTGGTGAACTGAGATTGGAAAAATGAGAAACTGAAAAGGAACTGAAATGGACAGATTTTGTCTATTCTTATACATTATTGGCCCCCACAGTAGGGAGCAACCGTTGAGCTAAACTCCTCACACCATCATCGCTGCAGCTAATCTGGTTGGTCCAGGGTGACATTGAGTTCAGGGCTTCATGGGTGCACTGGTGGACCCAATCCAGCCCTCCTGATGTGGCAGCGCAGCCCTGACCTCACAGCCACCCAGCCTCTGTCTTGTCCAGGTAAGTTGGAGTGACCCTGGTGTCAGGGTTGCTCCATGACTCGACTCCACCACACCAGATGCTATGGATACCATAATTAGGAGGACCAAACTCTAGACATTTTGCATTTACAGTTCTGGCATATCTGGGTCGAGAAAGGTGGCAGATAAAAAACAATTGTATGAAATAAAACCACACTTGAGTCAGGTTTAAGTCAGATATGAGAGCAGCCACATAGCTTTCCTCAAGCCACAGACTGCGTTTTTGCACATTTTGTGCCATCTTCATGGGCAACTGTAGGAAACATGTCATGTTTTGACATGTCTTGGACTGACACTTCAGCTGTTTTGTAAAGAAGTAAATAAGAAAGTGCCTGCATTCACTATTTCTGCAGGAAGAATAAAACTCATGACAAAAGTGCAAAGGCAAACCCTAAAAATAAGACATCTTAATTTACTGGTATTTTTTTTATAATCAGTGGAAAGCTTGGCTCAGCCTTCTGTCATCTGTACTCAGCAGGGAAACATGGAAGCAGACTGCAAACTGATGACAGGCCTTGTGCAGTTAACTTACGATTTTCAGCCACACTGAAAAGTGCTAGACAATTAGCCTGCTGTCTCACCCATCCACAGCCCACATGAACCACCATGCTGACTTTAAGATTGCTTATTTTATTTTCCTTTTTTTTTGCCCTTGGGCCTTTCTCTTTCCTTCACCGAGGGAAAGTGTTATATTTTGCATTGAGAGCCTGACTTTGAAGTAGGGAAGACTCCAACTCTTTCTCTGTGTTGCCTCCAAGCAAAAGTAGAACATATGATACTTCCAGCTGAAAGGGTGTGCTTGTTTCTCTCACCAGGAAAGGTGCTGGGAGAAAAAATCTGCAGCAATCAAGAG